TCAGAAAAGGGTGTCAGATTCACCACGCGGGTACTAGGATCTGAACCTGAGTCCACTCTAAAAGCAGTTAGTGCTCTGTACCGCTGAGCCATCTCTCCAGCCCTCTTTGTTTTATTTTCAAAATGTCACCCTACTGACTTCCCACATTTGGACTTCTAGAAAGGCACCTGCTCTTAATCTTGTATTTTATAGCACTCTTCTCCCTTGTTACTCTTTAGCCTTTTTGTTTTTGTTTTCTGTTGCTGAGAGTGTCACCCAGGGCTGGGCAAGCAGTTTCCATTCAGTGATGCCCCCGGCTCTTTGCTTTGTCAATCCTCTATTTGTCTTTGAATTGACATTTTTATTCTGGATGTATCTCAGTGTAAATTTCTTTGACTGACCCTTCTTAGAATTATGCTTTTCTAGATTGAGGTTCATGTCCTTTTTCTCAAATTTGGTAATATTTCAATCCTTATTTCTTTAAATAATCTGGTGTTTTCTAGTTTCTCGTCCTGTGACTATAGTTCTGTAATGGGGGTAACTTTGACAGTGGTACCCAAATCTCAGGCTCTGCCAAGGTTTTATTCTTTTTTCTTTCCATTCTTTAAGATTGTATAATGTCATTTGCACTATTTTTAACATGGCTGTTTATTTTTTTCTTTTGCCTACCCAGATATATAAATTTTTCACTTCATGTACTTCAGTTTTAAGTCTCAGAATTCATTTCGTTCCCTTTTATAATTTCCTTCCTTATACTGAATGCTTCTTTGTAAGAGACCTTTCTCCTGCTTCCCATCATTTTTTTCCTTCAGGAATTGAACCTATTTAAGACAGTTCATATATAGTCTTTGTTTAAGAAGTCTGACCTCTGGCCTTCTTCAGAGACAGGTGTTTTATGATGTTATTTGGTTTTTCTTTTTTTTTTTCTTTTCTTTTTTTGTGACTGGGTCGTACTATCTTGTTTATTTGAGTGCTTCATAATTCCTTACTCAAAACAACATTTCAAATATTATTATCTGATAACTCTAGAGAGCAAACCACATTTTGGAGCTCCTAATACTTAAAGCCCCATCTAGTATTTTTTTACACTAAATTTATGTTTTTTGATTTATTCAGGAATCCTTCTTTTCCCTAATTGTCATTATATAAAGTCATGAAATATCCTGTTTATGCAAATAGTAATGTTTATGTGTATAACTTCTTAAGCTTGGTATTTAATAAATAAAAATGTAAACTACTGACTGCTATGATATCCATAATCGTGGCATATAGAGTGATAAATTCCAGAAAAATGAATTCCTTAAGTATTTGATTTCAACCTTTTTGCTTGGAAATATTTTTTAGCACAAACTGCAACCCAGATATGTAATTCTATGTTCTACTGGAAACGGTGATAAACAAATGGACACATTTTCACTTCCTATGATGCCTGTTTTAGTTTACCCATAGAAACAAGTATGTTTTACGTTTTTCAAAATTGCTTGAGTTGGCAGTGCTTCGCTTTATTGCAGTCAATTTTGCTGTTAGCTTGGGAAGTCTTCTTTTCTTTCCACCTGTTTCCCAGCTATTAGAATATCTCTCAACTATGGGCACATGGCATTCATGCAGAAGCTGACTTCCTGCCTCAGCTTCAATGTTGGGATGGCACTGGGATTTAAGTTCCTAGTTGATGCAGAAACAAAGAGTGAGTGGCAACCCTGTAACCTTTCCTAGGTTCTGGGAGGTATGTCCTTGCTACTTTGCTGCTTAGTTTTAATTTTCATTAATATTGTTAACCATTTGAACCATTTTGAAATTATTTTAGGTTACTATGCATCTTCTATATCAGAGTTTAGATTCTTCCCCAATAGCACTTTTATGGTGCGGATTTTCAGGTTTTAAAAGCATTTGCTAGAGTCTACAGCAGCGCACAAACTGTAATGAAAATCATAACTGTTGTCCAGTGACTGGAAGTAATGCTGGACCTGCCCAAAACACTTGCATGCTTTTATTACTCCAAGTGATTTGCCCTTATCTACTGAAAATTGAAAAATTAGAGCGACAAAAGTTAGAGAATGCGGTTAAACAGGAAAAAAATATGACGTAAATTGTTTGTAATAGTATTACCTTGAAAAATAGCAGTGGGTATTTTCTGGAATTGTCTTCTGTGTGCTCTATAGCAATGCTCATGAAGAATCCATGTGTAGATTTCAGCACTGAGGGGCTAATGAGAAGTATGTGGTCATGTTGTCTCACAAAAGCGTTTTTTGTTTCATCTGCTTAATTCTAGGTCACTACCCCACTACCAGTGGGGAGGCTTCCATTCAGAGGTGTGACATCTCACAGCATATGGCCCAAATCAGGAATTCCTTGGGCCTGTGTCCCCAGCAGAACCTGTTGTTTGATTACTTGACAGTATCAGAGAACCTTGATCTCTATTGTAGGGTAAACCAAAGAGATCTTTATATCTTTTGTTTTCCTCCTCATTCTATTCATATACTTAAGGTAACTTACCAGCTATCAATATCCATATATATTATGTGTATGAGTGTACTGCCTGAATGTGTGTACAATGCCCACAGAGGTCAGAAGAAGGCATCAGATCCCCTGGAACTAGAGTTTCAGATGGTTGTTAACTGCCATGTGGGTGCTGGGATCCAAACCTGGGTCCTCTGCAAGAGCAGCCAGTGCTCTTAACTGCTGAGCCATCTCTCTAGCCCCAATATCCTTATTCTTATAAAGTACAAAATTGATTTTTTAAATGAATTTTCCTATAAGCATAAAGAATGGCAAAGGGAATACCACTGTAGAGATGATATAAAGGGTGAGGTGAGATATTTATTTATATGAGCCAGAGGTCAGAGAGAACTACTACAAAACTGTTCTCTGAAGATGACAGGGACACCGCACTCATAAACTCATAGCAGCTGTGATTGCTTGTACAAGATTAGGCCAGTCAAAATTTCAGCATAGATGGGGTAGGGACTCATGAAGCCCCACCCCTAGATCAGGAGCTTTGGCAGTTGAAGGCTGGAAAAGTGTGATGCATTTTCAAAGTCGCTGAGTGGAGGCATGAAACACAAACTCGCCATCATCATAGCACTTTTAGGGGTTTGCAAGGTAAAGGCGGGAAGAGCTTAAAATGGAGAGCCCTGCATTACAGCTGCTCTAAAAAGTCAGGTGATACAAATCTGAGAGCAACCTCCTAAATGAGAATCAGATGGAATTCGGTCATCAACCTCATTGATAGAAAAGATCCATGGGTTTGGCACTAGTCCAGCATTCCTAATTTAATGTTATCTAAACTTACTGTCTTTTCTCAGTTGCACATTTGGCTTAAAAAGCAAAACAAGAGCCCCATTACTAGTACAACACCTGTGTAGCATATTTACACAATCACCATCTGTCCTGTCTTTAGGTGGTGATACTTGATGAGCCCACATCCAGCATGGGCACAGTCTCAAGAAGAGCCACCTGGGACCTCCTTCAAGACTACAAACAGAATCACACCATCCTGTTGACCCACTACATGGACGAGGCTGATGTCCTGGGTGACCGCATCACCATCATGGTCCAGGGCTCTTTGTGGTGCTATGGCTCTTCAGTCTTCCTGAAAAGACTATATGGTCGCTCTCCTTTGATTATTCTTAGGATGTTATTGCCTTAATAATACTCTTTTTTTAACTTTTACAAAAACTTTATTGAGATTTTCATACATGTATATAAGGTGTTTTGATCAAATCCATGCCCACTCCCTCCCCTCCAACATTTCCTCTTCTGAAGAGGTAACCCTAAAATCTTTTAAGGATTAGATACAAGCTCCCAAATACTTTTGACATTTTTGGCCTTTGGAAAAGCATATGTTGCTAAGAGGCCCAAGGACATTTTGACTTTTAGCCAAGAAACTGGCTACTTTTCTTTGGGGTCTTTTTACCCTAACTGCTTAGCCAATTCCTACCTCCTATTCTTATCATGCCATCATCTGAAAGGGTTACCCAAATTGCCAATAGGGAATAGGGATGCAGACCGCC